GTGTGTGTGTGTGTGTGTATGCGTGTGTGACTATATCAATATCCAAGAAAGAAAGCAAATTCTCAGAGTGATAGGGTATTGAATAAGAGGAGGGAACATCAGAGAGAATGAACAATTGCATTGTTTTCTCATCAACAAACTCTGAAGTCCAAAGAGATCGATAGGAGAAAGAGTACCATTCAAGTGTGAGTCCAAACTCAGATACTTGGAAGTTACCTATAACGAGGAATAGCTTCATGGGGCTATTGTGAGATTCTAACAAAATGATAGGTGATTCAGAGCTTTATAAACCATATAGTGTCTTTAAAATGCAAGATGCTGTATAAACTGTGAAATACTATACAAATATAAGGGATAATGATTATGATTACCTGAGGAAGAAAACATCATTCTAAATATAGTCTGTTACTTGAGAATTATACAGTAATAAGGTTACTTTTAACAAACAGAATTTGCCTGCTGAAATACATCTTCTCTCCTTCAAAATCGATAATCTTGATGGGACTTGACATTTACTTCAAAGAGAAACTATTAAAAACATATGAGACTCCTTTTCTGGGATTAATTTCCTTTAGAACCAGTTTATAAGCCACACAAAATTATCTTATTAATTTATAGCCACATTGTGTTTTGAACCTTATATATTATTTAGCTTAATCATTAGAGTTAACTCCCAAAGAATTATAAGTGTTGCAGTTTTCTTTAAATCAAAATTCACTCCCTAAAGCAATGATTCTTATTCTTTGTGTGTGTGTGTGTGTGTGTGTGTGTGTGTGTGTGTGTGTGTTGAGGACCTGCCAAAATATACAATACACAGAACAATTTGTATATGGATCTCTAGATTCCCAGGTAAAGAACTTCCTAGAGTTACAGAATTCAAATTTGATGGCTACAGATCTGAAGGCAATTATTTTCTAAGCATAAGCAGCAGACTTATTGGAATAAATGTTTAGCCTCCCAAAGGAATTGTTTGAAGGAAACCACACCACTGTACGAATGATCATATGGTATGAACAATTAAAAATTAATCCATCATATGGGTTTGTGCTGTCATTTCTATGGCTGCAGTGGTTTTGTGTGTGTGTGTGTGTGTGTGTACGTGTACGTGTACACACAATCCTCATTACTAGTAGGATGCTTAGGCAGCAGCATTTGTCTCCCCAGGTGTCTACCCTCAACTCAATTTAAACAACTCAAAAGAATCATAGCCCTAGGAAAAGGCATTACTCAGTTGGGTTGAAATTGCCCTACAGCCTACCTGGTCACAAGAGATGAAGAAAGGCAAGCTTGGTCATTCTTTAGCTGCTCCTGGAAGAGGGCTGGCCAAAAGGGCTTTGGGGATTACACTGGTGTTCTTTTTATGAGACAGAGAGGATTTCTTATGATCCTCTCACATGCCAACCACTGTTAGCACCAGACTTGAGATAAATTAACTCATTAAAATCTTTAGAAAACCTCCTCAGAAAGGTAGTATTGTTCTCATTTATAGATGAGAAAATCAAGACCCAGAAAAGCTAAATGACTTATAATTAAAGTCAATTAGCTAATAATTAGCAAAGCCAGGATTTAAACTCAAATTTGATTTCAGAGCCTAGACTCCTTCCACTGCCCAATACTGTCTCTTCCCATTTCTTCCCCGGCCTCTGTGAAACACTCTTGTTAGCCTCTCCCTCCCTGGAGGGCCTCTGGAAATGAAACCCATACATTTACCTCACAAGGGACAGTGCCCCGAATGGCCCATCTAGGACTGAGACTCACTTGCTTCTATTACTAACTTTCTTCATGACATGACAAGCTCCTTAAGTTACCTGGGCCTTGGTTTTCACATCTGTAAAATAAGAGGATAAAAGTAGATGAAACTTTGAACTGAAAAATTCAATGACTGAATTTTGTGCACTCATCCCATTCTCCCTAGCTGGCATGCCTCCCTATCCTGTGGGTTGCTCACAGCTCACCTCTAGGGTGCCGTCTTCTCTGACCACCCCAGCTTGACACCAACAACATGTACCTGCTTGTTGGCCATTTTACACTTATTTGGCTCATCTTTTTCATTCTCCTTCCATATCTTTTCTGAATTCCTCAAATATTTTTGTTTATTTAACCCCTATATAACCAATTTATGAATAAACCAATTTATGTTGTAATTCCCCCCATGAGAGACCGTTGGTTGTTTCCATTTTTCACCAATGATGCTGAGACTAATTCTTTTACTTGCCTCCTTGAGTACATGTGCAAGAGATTCTCTAGAGTGAATGTCTAGAAATGAAATTGCTGAGCCATAGGGTTTGTGCATTGGATATTGCCAAATTGTTCCCTGAAGTGGTAGTACCAACATTATGTTCCCTTTTGCAATGTGTAAGAGTTCCATTTCCCATATCCTCACCAATACTTATCAACCTTATTTTTTTTTTCAAAATAACATTTTGACTGCATTTGCCTTATGGTGCTTACCACTTTCTTTTTAATATTTGTTTATATGCTTCCCCTTTACTGGGCTGTAAAATGTTGTGAGGGCAGAATCCTTGCTTAACTCATTTTCGTATTTTTCCCACAGAACTTATCAAGCTTAGTAAGAACACAATAAAGAGTTGTGAACAAATAAATGATGAGCAGAATTAATTAATCTTTTGTTGTTGTTAATCCTCACCCAAGGTATTGTTCCATTGATTTTTAGAGAGAGTGGAAGGGACAGGGAGAGACAGAGAAAGACAGCAACTCAACTGGGGCTGGGGATCAAGCCTGCAACCTGGGTACATGCCCTTGATTGGAATTGAACCTATGACCCTTCTGTCTGTGGGCCAACGCTCTATCCACTGAGCCAAAAGCGCAACTAATTTATCTTGATCCAGGGAGATGGAGAGTTTCATAAGGGCAGGGATGAAGTGTTCTATCTCTATTAACCTGGGATGAAGATGTGGGTAGGGAATCCCCATCAGTTGTAGAGATGATTGCACAGTGGTCACAATTGACCTATAGACTAAGGTTTCAAGATCTATAATGGACGGTCATCAACCCTTGGAGATCCCCGCTTTAGATCAGTTATCATGGTACTCATCAAATATTTGTTGATTGTTGTGAGTGGCAAATTTCCCAATCTCTGAGGCCATCTTTATTATGTACCAAGAGGGCTGTTTCTGAATGGAACTCCCCCCACCTCTGGCCCCACCCCATTACTAAGGGTTGGATAGAATCCATGTGTCCTTTGGACTAGGGTGCTGCATGATCTATGGTAAATCCCTCCCCTTTTTGTCACCCCAGCAGTTCCAGGGTTGACTCATTTTCTAAATAAGCCACTAGTGGTTTTTGGTCTGACATTAAATGTGGAAGAATGAGTAATTTTTCAAGAACCAGAATTATATTTGATCACAATAAGATACACGGTGTATGTTACTCATGGTTCTAGGATAAGGGGTCAACACTGGTAACAAGGACTCTGACCTTCCCCCATCCTTTCTTTCCCTGAGGTCAAGGGATAGGTGAAGGAAGTGGGTATAAGTGTGAAAAAGTTTTGTGTACATCTCTTATTTTGTTGCCACGTTATGTACAATTTAACACAATTACATCTTGCTCCCTCTGCTAGATTAAGTAAAAGCAATATAGCAAAGTAGTCAAGGCCATGAGTTCCATTGCTACACTGCTTGGGTTCAAATTCCGGCTCCACCACAAACCAGTTGGGTGAATTTGAGCAAGTTATTAAATTGATGTGCCTCCATTTTCTCATTTGTAAAATAATAATAGTACCTTGTTTGTTATAAGGAATAAATGATTTGATAAATGTTAAGTGCTTAGAATTCTGCCTGGAACTTAGTAGCACTATGGAAATGTTAGTAAATATTTCCTTGAATTCATCACATGTTTATACTTATATTAAATGCTCAGTAAATGCTTTTTAACTAAATGAATTCTCTTAAGACATATTTGGAATCAGGGGGATAGAAGTGACTACAAGTGCTAGACTCTTGGTTGGAAATAGAAGAAACTATAAAGATCAATTCCCTTGAGCATAGATATTCCTTAACCCCCTCACCCCCACCACCACCCTTTTGTTTGGTTTGTATTTTGTTCCCTAGTTATATGTGTTGTGTTGGAGGAGAGCTGCCATTCCCAGAGATGTCATTTAATGGGAGGTTCTACTTCCTGCCTTTTAAGTGTAAGAAGAAGGTACAGATCTAGAACCTTGAACTCTGACAGCATGGCTAAGTTAGAAAGGAGACCCTGGCACCAGAGAAATCCATTCTCTGACCTCTCAGCATCTACTTTAAGGAGAAGTTAGCAAGATAGTGGCATTATAAGGTGAGTTAGCAAGATAGTGGCATTTGGATGAGTGTTTTGTTGAGTTAGTAGAATGGGTATCACGCATAGGAAATTATTTTGATAAAATGTCAATATACTGATTTCTTTTTATCGGTGCAGATGTGGTACTTATCCTCACAGCATTTTTGATCTGGGAGAACATACTCCTGAGTACCAGAGACATGAAGAAGCTGGAGTGAAAACCCCAGAGACCATCCTCCATCACAGGCCTCTTCAGGATGCCTGGGGCTTGTGGGATCCCCTTCACCAGGCAGGTCAGTCCAGCCTCATTGGTACCACCATGTGGGCTTCAGCTGAGAAGCTTGATACACCAGACAAGTGGGTCTAACTTGACTGCTATGGGGGCAATGGTGCTATGCTTATTAGAAAGTCTCGATATTTAGTAAAATTGGTAGAAATGCTGAGTTACTGAAGGAAGTACAGATGTCCTGGAGGAAATGTAATCACTGGAGAGGTGTCAGGAAGCCCAGCACAAGTGGTGTCTAAAGGACAGCCATACTCTCATCCACTTGGAAGTAGTCGTACACTCACAATCACATTCACGCAGAAGCACATTCACACATAATAACACAAACAGCTTCACCCTCCTAGACTTTTCCCTTCCCTGCACTCCCAAACATGCACACACACCTCACATACACTCAGTCAAAAGGGTAGCTGAGGGGAGACCTCATGGCTGAATCAAATGCTGGTTAATGCTGCTGCTTTTATTACACCAAATGTCTTAACATTTATTTTGAGATGAACACAAAACTTGGTATACTGCTGTTACAGTGTCATGCATTCTCCACAGTGCAGCTTCGGAGCTCAAGACCACTGCAGCACACACAAAAGAACTGCACTCCAGAGAGGGAAAGGAGAGAACTGCAGATCCTTGTTCTCTCCAGTATCAGTAGACTAAAGGTGCTTCACTATGACAGCAGTCAAGGAATCTCATGTGCTGGGCAGGTGTGTTTTCAACAGCTAATCAGGTGTGTCTGACAAGGGATCCAGGTAAGTTCCTAACACCAAGAATATTTTGGGTTAAGTATATATTCCCCACATAGTCAGCACTGACTAAAGAAAGGGGGGCATGCTTAGCACTGCATCTGAGTTAGGTTAAGCTACCAGGAGTCCTCAATGAAGGGAATCCTGGTTTCACAAAGAAGAATAAGACATGATGGCGCTGTCACAATAAGGCCACTAAACTCACACCAAACGATGACCTCAGAGAATGTTCTCACAACTACAGAAAAGCAGCTCTATTCTCTCTGATGTCAGGTGCCCTTTGCTGATTAGGCACCTGCCCTGAGACCGTCACAGGATCCTTTCTGAGCTGCACATCACTTAGCACAATGGAGCAGAGGAAGGGGCCACACAAGTCAAGGTCATGGGACATCACTACCAAACGTGGCTGACTGTTGTTGGCAAATGTCTCAGATGCCTTTCCCGGTTAGGCCAGGTGCCCACGTGTGTCTGAAGAGCTAATCTGAAAAGAGGCTGGCAAAGGACTTCCTCAAGCTCCTGATGGTCTCTGCTTTGGCTTCATCCTCATTGGCTGAAGACCGGAAGAAGGAGGACTCAGAGAAGCTGAAGGCATTTGTCAGGGACTGCGACTTGCTTGAAGATAAAAACCAGAGAGAATGTGAGAGGGTGGTGTTCCCAGCAAGGTAGGAAAGGACGATCACATGAGGATACACAACTGGAACCCCCACTCCCACCCAAGGGAGACCACGGTGATAGCAAGCCAGCAGGGATTGTGCTACCAGGATCCTGGGAGGCTCCTGTGCTATTTTCTTCACCTTCACTGCTGCTAAAACAGGAAAGGATGGGAGCAGTGAGGGAGAGAGGAAGGAGGGAAAAAAGGAAGAAGAGAAAAAAGAGAGAGAAGGAAAAGAGGAAGAAGGGGTGACTCAAAGGATGTTTCTTTTATTTAATGCTAAAGGGTCAGCAGACTAAATTTCCGAGGCCTCAACTTGGTAAGTACTAATCTAGGACTCACACCCTTCCCCTCTGATGAAATGTAGCAACTAGGGGCCCATGGACTCTTGTACTCTCTTTTCCATGAATTGTCAAGTAGTGGAGTCAGCATCAGAACATCTGAGTCAGTCTTGATTCTGCCACTCACTTACTCTTGACCTCAGGCAAGCTATTGCCTTTCTGGTATTTGGTTTTTATTTGTGGTCTGTACTTGTTTGGTAAAATAATCTCTAGGCCTTTTTAGAGCTTTTTATATTCTGCTTTTTTCTTTCATTCCAAAAGAACCTTTTGGCTTGGCACAAACTCTAGTGCTCAATTTACCTTGAGCATTAAAGTGGATGTAATCACTCTTTGCAGCCTTCCTCAGAGGACTCCTAATATAAGGTCTGTGGGGCTCCGGGTGTACAGGGGCAAGAGACACAGTCAGCCCTCCACATTCACAGATGTAACCAACTACGGATCAAACATATTTGAAAAATAAATCCCAGCTAATTCTTAAAAGCAAACTTGAATTTGCCATAAGCCAAGCACTACGCTGAAGCCATGTGAATGAAGATGTGAAAGCATACCTGGCTGTAGGTTATATGCAAATATAGGTTATATGCAAATACTACACAATTTTATATAAGGAACTTGAGCATCCTCAAATTTTGGTGTCTGCAAGGGGTCCTGGAACCAATCTCCCATGGACATTGAGGGACAACTCTACTTATCAGGCTGACACAAGGTTGTTAGGCAGTTTTCTAATAAAAAAAAATCACACACATTTTAGGGACTGATTTATCCCTTGAGAGATTAGCAATTCAAAGAGAAAAACTCAATACAAGAAGGTCGAGGAAAGGCTAAGCCCAGAACTTCGGAAGAAGATACAGGTCTAGTGTCTCCAGTGGTCTGTCTTCTCTCCTTCTTGATTTCTACTATGTCCCTTTCCTGCCAGTTTCTGTCTCCAGAACTTTTTTCCTGGTGCCTTAAAACTCCCAGCCCTCCCCTAAATTCAGGGTGTAGCCCCAGAAACTTCATTCTACAGAAGTATGAGCAGTTTCTCGCTTCCTGCAGTGACTGTGAACAGATGCCCTGCCTTTCATTAGACTAAAGATGAGCCACACATGCTGGCCTCTGGGAGGGGGACTCCTCTGCACACACAAGCTAAGGGCCTGGGTATCAGCCTTCCTCATTAGAGGCTGACTTTATTCAACAATGTAAGCAGTGACAACCCAAAAATCTGCCCTCAATCTGGGGCCAAAATTGGAAGGTAGGAGAGATTAAAAAGTCAGCATACAGAAAAAAAAAACTGGGTTGAAGGGAGGTTATGGGACATGTGAGATAAGAAATGTGTCACTGGCCAGAGCTGGGGAGCTGGAGTGAGTGATGCTCCTCCTGTCATGTAGGAAAACCCAGAGAAAGTGGTCATCTGGAGCCCCTGAGTCCTAATTCTGGCTATGCCATTAATGAGCAGAGTGGCTTTAAAAATGAACATTAATCGAATCTCTCTGAGCTATGTTTTCTCATTTATGCAATGGCTAGACAATCTCTAAAAGTGCCTCATTTGAACTCCAAAATTCTATGGCCCCCTATTCTCCCTCCCTAAAGATTCTCATTATTTTACTATGAGAAGCACAGATGGGTCTATACCAGTGATGGCGAACCTATGACACACGTGTCAGAGGTGACACGCGAACTCATTTTTTTCGTTGATTTTTCTTTGTTAAATGGCATTGAAATATATAAAAAATATCAAAAATATGTCTTTGTTTTACTATGGTTGCAAATATCAAAAAATTTCTATATGTGACACGGCACCAGAGTTAAGTTAGGGTTTTTCAAAATGCTGACACGCTGAGCTCTAAAGGTTCGCCATCACTGGTCTATACCATTCCCCCAAGGCTTCAGCTGTCTGTGCTGATAGTGATGCAGAGTACTGTTTGGGGAAATTGAAGAGAGGTATCTCTGGTTCTGGTGGAGAAGGTGGAACTGACCACCACCCACATGCTGGTGCTGTTCTTCTCAAGTACAGCTGTACTACTTCCTAGGGGTCCTCAGTTCCTCTCTGAAGCAGGGCAGTATAATGGGGGCTTCTAGAGTTTCTCCTCGGAATGAGGGAACCCCAGAGGATGCAGTTGCTCAGGGACTCTATCTGAGCCCTTCTCAGATGACCACACCAGAAACTGACCTCTCTCTGAGAAAGCTGAGAGTAAAAAGTTGAAATGGATTTAACTAATTCTCTCTTTTCCTTCTGGGCAGCCTTGCTAATTATATACTGTAAACTGTGAGTCAAAGGCAGCAAAGAGGATTTTTTTTTTAATTGAGAGAGAGTGAGAGTGAGAGAGAGAGAGAGAGAGAGAGGAGAAGGAGAAGAAATGGGAAAAAGAGTAGGAGACAGGACCAAAAAAACAAAAACCCTAAGCTAGTACAAGAATAGAAGGGGTAGTATCTATGCCTTATTGTCACTCCCCAGGAAGAAAGGGGAGGGTTTGAGCTTCTAGCTAGACTTTAGACTTTCACTTCCCTCTTTCCTATCCTCCCCAATCAACCCTAAATAGGCCCCCAACAACAAAAAAACCCCACACACAACCAAAAACCAAAAAATAAAACAACCCAAAACCAAAACCCCCAAAAAACCCCACAAAAATATCTGTGGAGGAGGAAGAGGCCTGACTGAAGGTGCTTTCTAGCACCTCTGGAGCCCAAGGCCTGCGAGGAAGGGCAGGAAGAGGGGAGGGGAAGCAGCTGCTGAGTTGTCTCTTACTTGAGCTGTGGGTGAGGCTGGGGCTTCTGTGGTGGAGCAGCCGGGGGTGGCTGGGCCTCTGCCAGGGAGCTGCTGCTGGAGGGTGCATCTCCGTGGGTGGTGGGGCCGCCCGGCAGCTGAGGAGCCGAGAAGGAGGAAGAAGAGGAGGAGGAGGAAGAGGAGGAAGGTGGCACTGATGGTCCACGGGGGAGTCGGCGTGGAGGCAGCACCTTGCCTGGGGGTTGCATTCCTTGGGGTTGCCCAGGGCCCCCTAGGTTCAGTACAAGAAAAACTTCATAATTTAACCATATCAAAGGGTTTTCTTGTTAAAATCTATGTCTCAAAGGGTGTGGTTAGTTAATTACTGAAAGGATAAGCTCCATTACAAGAAGCCACCCGAGGCTCTGAAGGACTCCAGAGGGAGTCCCTGGTTACCCTCATACATTGCCACCACTTGCTTTCCCTCAGAGACACAGCACCTCAGTCACAGCAGAAGTCGGGGGACAGGGAAGAAACCATGGGATGAGCGGCTTCAATCAGAGGTGAGCTCTCTATAGAAGACCCCGCAGACCAGAGGGACCCCACCCCTCTTCCCCAGAGGTTCCTCAGGTACAGGCCAACCTGCCCCTAGTAGGAGATCTCAAGTTCCACACAGCAGACACAGTACAGGGCAGTGGAAAGAGCAGTGGTCTGGGAATCAGAAAACCCAAGACATAGTCTATCAGTGACTCCTTGAGCAAGTCAGGAAACTTCTCTGGGCCTCTGTGTTTCTAAACATAAAACTGTTAAAAAAAATAAGGCCTACTTGTAGTTTTCTTTTAAGATGGTAGTGTTTTAAAGATGGTAATAGGTGAGAAAGTTCTTCAAAAAGTATTCTGTGCTTTATGATCATTGATAATCACTGACTTACATTGTTTTATGGAGCTAGCCTTTGTCCTGCTCTGAGTCTATATACGTGTCTGATTCCCACCCCCACCCCACCAGGGCTTCATTTTAGTATTAGCTCATGCCCATGACTAAGATAAATCTTTTGTTTCCAGTAACTCTTTTGCTTTTTTATTACCATCCGCAGGGGCTCCAGTCCTTTTCAGGTGAGTATGGTAAAATTCTACAGAAATCCAAGCCCCATTTTCCCCCTGGAGATGATGTGGGCACCACCTGGTAAAGAAGACTCCCCCACCTCCAACCCCTCAAAGAGGACCAGGATTCCCTTCTCCCAGAATGAGACAGAAAACCATCTGTGGTCTGGAAAGAAAGAAGTCATCCTTCCTCTGGAGATTGATACACAGTAAGTGTGGTACCAATGGCTCTGATTTTGCTGAGGGTGGTTACTATAGTCAGGAGTCAAAAGATGTCCCCATCAGCACATATAGACTAGTGGAAATGATGCATAATTGGCCTAGAGATCCAATTTCTCAGTCGAAATCTCAGTGTCCACATCCATGTGCCTACTGGAAGGAGTGGTTTATAGAAACTCAATGGCAGCTAAAAGTTGTGGTGTAACTTAGTTTTCTAGAAACACAAGAACACCTGTACCCTCTGAAGAGGTAAAAGTCTATGTTTATACCATTGTGCACCCATGACTGTCGGCCCATTTATCATCAATTATCAATTATCTACTTTATCATCAATTAACAATTAATACTAGGGTTAGTTACACATAAATATATAAATGAATGAAAAAATGGAAATTTTCATGTTTAAGAATTCCCAGGTTCAAATTAGATAACTATCGAAGATGACAGGTTAGCACAGTGGTTCTCAACCTGTGGGTCGTGACCCCTTTGGCGGCCGAACGACCCTTTCACAGGGGTCGCCTAAGACCATCCTGCAAATCAGATATTTACATTACGATTCATAACAGTAGCAACATTACAGTTATGAAGTAGCAACGAAAATAATTTTATGGTTGGGTCACAACATGAGGAACTGTATTTAAAGGGCCAGAAGGTTGAGAACCACTGGGTTAGCAGATTATTTCATATTAACCAGTTTTTGCCTTTTAAAAGTTTGGCATTATTTGTATTAACATCTTCTTATAAAATATTTCACATTGATAGCTCAGCATCTTGTACCAGAAATCTTAAAGCTTTCCCACCTGTACAGAGATGCTTGAATAGCCAGAAACTTTACAACTTAACACTGAAGACAGATATAACTTTTCCTTTATTGCACATTAAGCTGTACAAGAGAGTCACAAAAGAGAGGTACTTCAATCACACTTCCAGCATTAGCTGAGGTTCTCACGCTGGGTCAGTACAAAAAAAAAGGGACAACATCAGAAAAGAAATGGGTACAAAACACCTGAATGGCAATCCTATACTGCGATGCGTATGTCCCCCAGGCCATAGAGTTGTCCCTTAGCATGCTGCCTGAGGTCACATGACAGTCAGGTTAAGCTGTCTACTTGTGTTTGGCAGTTTTCTCTCCCACCTGAGAGACCTTGGCTGATACCACCCTGGAACCTGACTGAATTCAAATAGCAACTTTGTGTTTGTGGTTCACAAATGTCACATGAAAAGCACCTGGATGTTCACACTGAGAACATGCAGAGAAGCAACACCACTATCAGCTCACCACTGGACAAAAATAATAAATAAATAAATAAATTCCTCCATTTGGGGAAATGTTGCTTTATTCCTTTCTATCATTTGATCAGATTGGGAGGTATTGAAGGGCCTGATTCTTAGGCAACTCACCTGAAAGAGTGTAAATGCATATATGTATATATTTACAACAGATTGATTACCATCATCATCTAAAGAAGGGATCAGAGACAAGAACATTCACACTCAGTGTATTTCCCTGTAGCCTCTGAATTTGCCAGCAACCCAAGGAGAAACCAGAGCAGTGTCCCCTTGACACATAAATCATGTTACATACTGCCAACACTAGTTATTCCTCAGACCTGGTAATCCAGAACAGTGACATATCAGTATAGGAGTGAAAGGGAATGTACAAGTAGAGCCAGAAGCACTTCTTCTGAAAGGCAAACTGCTGGCATGAACTTCCATGAACCATGATGCTAGAGGAGGCCACTTGGTGCCCATTCCGAGCCTGGCCAGGAGATGGCAAGATGAGGCATTGAACCCAAGGCCTGCTTTAATTAACTGCCTCATCTCTGCCCAGGAGCTGAGTATTGGAGGAAAGAGAACCAGTGAGGGTTCTTCAAGAGCCACAGCTGTGCAGCCTTTGCCCCAAACACACACAAGGTAACATCTGAGATAGTTTTTCCCTAGAAAGATAAAGCTCTTTATACTTTAGACTCCAGAGGGCTCTCATAACAGCAGAAAACTAAAGCAGGAGTCCACCTCAGAGTTCTGTAGGCAGTGTACCGACTCAAGTGAAATGGGACATTTTAAATTTGGTCTCGTGTTATGATGCCTCAGGAGAGGCCAAGAGCAGAATGGCCCGAATCCTTCCCAGACTTTCAGTAGCTCCCTGCATTCTATGTCTAAAATTGCTAAAGAATCGTCTCTGTACATAGGTCAAGCTTTGGGAATACAAAACAGCCTCAGTTCCACAAAAGCACACACATGGCCAATTCAGAAACAGCAACAAAGAAGAAACAACTTGGGGGGACTGAGATCAACACAGAAAATACTCACAAGTTCACCTGGATATTGCACATCGGCGGCCCCATTTTTTTTTTTCTAATCTCAGAGCTAATTATTTAATAATAAAAACAACGGGTACACTGGGATGTAAAATACAAAACACATTCTTAGAATAGCTTCTTCTTTATGTTTCATGTCATCACTGAAAACACAAGAACTCTACAGGCACAGCCAGCATATTCACATATACTCAAACTGCACCAAATTTTAGCAAATGGAGAAAAATGTGGATGGCTTCAGATTCAACGGATGAAGCTATGGAAATTAGACCTTGGAAATCTCTTAAACTTCTATCTAGTCATGCAGAAAGAAAGCAAAAAGCACAGTTCATTGAAGATCCCAAGCACATTCATGGAGGTAAGCAGGGGGTGGGGGTGGTTTAATCTGAGCCCAGACCAGGGGGGAAGGATGTGTTAAAGGGGAAGGGGAAAAGGAGTGGAGTAGGGTTTTATTTTTGTGGTCTTTGTTTCTCTCCTGTCCATCCCCTAGTCCTATTTCACCCCACATTATGTAATACTTTAAAAAATATATCAAACCACCCAGAAGGTAGAGTCACACTGGACTTGGGAGAGGCACGATTCTTTTGTACACTGTTTACAAACAGCCCTGGAATCACAAGTTATACAGAGAAACATAAGTGAGCATTACAAGCACGAATAGGGACAGGTAAACAACCAGACAGAGGAGCTGACACTGCATAGGAAAAACACAGTCCAGTCAGCATTGAAAGAACGCAGAAACGGCACCAATGGGAGGGTGAGTTGCTCCCCTCCCCACTTTCCTTATTTGTTTTTGGCTTAAAATTTCTGCTTTGAAAAATTAACTACCAATCACTTTAAGAAGCTTGGACTTGCTTTGGCCCTACTGCAATGCCATTACAGTCGAGAATATACTGTAAACAACCTTGGGGGGCTGGCCGCTGAGGTGGGGTCTTGCTTGAGTCCGGATCCTTAAGTGTTCCACTCTGGAAGACAAAAATGTAAAAGAGATAAAAAGAAAACTCTAAGCAGATTCCAAAGAGAAGCCCTGTGGCTTTGTAGTATGGCTTCAGTGGGATCTGTGGGATCTGGTCCAGAGGCTTCTGCTGTTTCAGAAATAATTTTCAGCCTCTAGGCTGTTGCTGGCACACAGGTGTAGGCAGTCTGGGGCTTAGAACTACTCTGATACACAGTGTATCCACCCCTTTTTGATTTCACCCCTTTTTAGATTTATAAGAAGCTTTGAGTCTTCCATCAGCATTTGGTTTCTTCTATGTGATCTGCCTGATGTCCAGCTTCCCCTCATACTCACAGGCCTGGCTTCCTGAAGAAAAGGGAAGGATCAACACCAAACTCCAAAGAGCAGGCTGTGCTTTCAGCGACTCCAGGGACTGAAGAAGTGGTAGTGGTGGTGGGGTCGGGGGAGCAGGGAGGACCCTGGACCAGGTGAACAGCCTCATTTGGCTCTCTTCTCATGTGGAGTTAACTCCAGGGTGGGATCAGCTCTGGAGCAGACTCAGGGGTCAGAGCCACTCTTTGGGCTGGCTACAACTCCCACAGGAGGGACTTGAAGGAGGGGACAGTTGTTTGCTTTCCAGAACCTTTCTTACCCAAAGGGAAGGAGTATGATGTTCATGTTTGTAAAAGTGCTCAAGGCCAAGCTGTTTTCCTCTCAAACAGCATCATTACATTTTACCCAACAACATGGCTCCACTCCCATGCTTCCTCTCCTCCCAGCTGTGATTCTGATTATGTCCTAACAGGATCAAAGATGCATGTGACTTCAGTCTGTCTAACATTTGTATGAAAGCGGTGAGCATTTGGAGCTTGAATTCAGCATAGGGGAAATGCTCTATAAAGCCGGAGGGATGCCAAGTATGCCGATGGTGATGTCAGAGAGGGAGCTTCTGAGGCAAGGCTGTGAAATGGGCTGAGTATGTCTTCAGCACTCTCCCACTTCCTCTTTTAGTGCTCCTCTCCCCTTGTGACATGCCCCCCAGCCCTACTCCCACATTAAAACTGTTTCTCCTCCTGTTCCCCATTTCCCATGGGGCTCCAATTCTGGCCATCTATCTTCTCTTCTGCCTATTGAAACCCATTTTCAGCTCTATTGCCAGGAGAGCAGAAGTGTTACCCTTTCTAGTATCATGGTCTTTTAATAACAGCAATGCCTAAAACTGTTGTACTAAGAATTTCAGATAGAAGGAAGTAGCCTTTGAAATGTCCTTAGTGCCAACACATCAGAGGGCACCCCTTATACCTATAATCCCCAGTTTCTCAAAAATCACAGCAAGAATATCAACACTTCTTTCCCTTCCAAGCACTCTCATGAGATCTGCAAGACTTGGTCTGAGCCCAGGCACTGAAATACCCACACCCAATAAGCTAGCTAGAGAACCACTGCCTCCAGTCAGCCATTAAGACCCATCATGTTTCCCTCATGGCATCCAAAATTCACCATCTTCTCTTGGCCAACCCTGATCAGGCCTATATCATGTCTTGCTTAGACTACCAAAATAGTCTCCTCATTCTTAGTCTCTTCCCTCTCCAATCTATCTTCTCCATGGCTACTTATCCTTCTAAACTCCTTCCCTAACTCTAACGCTCTAAATAATTTATAATTAACACTATATATATATATGCTAGGTAACATATACACTTTTATACAGCATTTACCTTAAACTTCACTATAGCTCTATAATATGGATGCTATTATCAACATCCCTAATTTTAGATAAGGAAACTGAGGCACATCTAAGTTAGGTAATTTGTCCAGGGTCATACAGTGGTGGCTAATGCAACTGAACTGTGAGCCCCGACAGTCTGATGCTCCCTTTTCTTTTCATTGCTTACAGAATAACATTCACACTCTTCAGGCTGACACCAGGAACTTTCATCAGCATGGTTGGAATTGACCCTGCTAGCCTTCTCTCTCCCTCATGTCCTAAACACACCGGCTCCCACCAGGCCTGACCCCTCACTGTTTATTCTGTAGTCTAGGCCACTCCATAGTGCATGGATGTCTAAGTCAAGTTCTACCCTATCCATGAAATCTCCCCTTCTGACTGCCTCTTTTCGATTGTCATCTCCTCTCTGAAATCCTATAATAGCATTTAGGAGACTTATACTACTAAAAGGGACATTTGCAGTGCTATCTTGTTATCCTGAAGGCTGGGATGATGCTTCTAAGAAAACTGCCAAACCCTTGAGGGCATGGACTATGTGTCTTCATCTTCTCATGAATTCCTAACAAATGCAGTGTCCCTTTTTTTCTCCAAAGAAAAATTGGGATATATGGCCTGATATGCGAGTTCTTTATTAAAAAGTTAAAAGAGCTCTGGCTGCACCATAGCTGGTGTGGCTCAGTTTGTTGGAGCGCTGTCCCTGTATACTGAAAGCTCACAGGTTCGATCCTGGGTCAGGTACTTACAGGAGGTAACCAATCAATGTTTCTCTTTCACATCGATGTTTCTCTCTCCCCCTCCCCATCCTTTCATCTCTCTAAAAAAACATATCCTCAGGTGAGGATTTTTTAAAAAGCCCTGGCCGGATGGCTCAATTGGTTGGAATGCCATCCTGCACACAAAAAGGTTGATTTGAGGGCTCGATTCCTAGTCAGGGCATATACCTAGATTGCAGGTTTGATCCCCGGTCAGGATGCATATAGGAGGCAACCAACTGATGTTTCTCTCTCACATTGATGTTTGCCCCTCTCTCTTTCTCGCTTTCTCTCACTCTCTCCCTTCCTTTCTCTCTCTCTCAAACCAATAAATACATCCTCAAGTGAGGATTTTTTAAAAGCTCAAATAGAATTGGGAGCCTGGCCAGTGTGGCTCAGTGATTGAGCTTTGACCCATGTACCAGGAAATTGCCAATTCTATTCTGGGTCAACGCACATGTCCAGGGTTGTGGGCTCGATCCCCAGGAGGGGGCATGCAGGAAGCAGCCGACTGATGTTGATGATGTTTCTCTCTCACCAATGTTTCCATCTCTCCCTCTCTCTCCTTCTCTCTCTAAAATCCATAAAAATATATTTAAAAAAATCGAATTGGGAATATTTTTGAATATTCAAGACTATTGTCATTTTACCAACATCATTAAGCACAGGGCCGAGCATATAAGAGGTCCTTAGTAAAAACATTGTTAAGTAAATGAACATGCAACAACAACTACAATGAAAACCCAAAATGGAGCAGAATATAAGTCTTTTAATATAAAAATGTTGGTAAACCCTAGTTGTTAAGCCATATTTTATTTGGTATCAACACTGGTGAGCAGCTCTGAAAATGCTCTGGTTAGGGAATTAAACTTGAGGCGTGCTACAGGTGCCTATATATCAGGCACAGAAGGTAAAGTCCAAACAAGTCTCAAAGCAGCAGTAATTGCTTCCATCAAGACTATTTAACCAGCCAAGTTTAGGACACATAAGGCTCAACAGTTCTTTCCTATTAAGATCTCTTCTTTCTCTTAACCTGGCTGCCAACTGGATGAGAAGTATGGGGCCAGGATATAGTGTTTGGAAATGGGAGCACAGGATACCAGGGTTGCTTTTTACTTGGATTCCTAACTTGCTCAGATGGGGCTGGGTATTAATCCCAGCCCCAACACACACACACACACACAGCCATCTAGGTCTACTTTAAAACTGAGTAGCAGAGTAACTGAGGAATTGGGCTTTTCAGTTAGGACCTTGGGTTAATCTAAACCTGCCACTTACTAACTTTGTGACCTTGGGAAAGTTATTTTGCTCCTCTGCACCTGCCTTTCTTCAAAAGGTTTTTGTGATATAAAGTGAGATTGATTATCTATCTATCTAGATATTTATAAGCACCTGGCCCCAGTAGGTGCTAAATAAAATACAACAGATGCTGGGATGGTAATATTAAGAGGCCTTTTCCTCGGAAGTTCCATTGTTTCCTAGGTCTCACTCCCATGATGGAATACTTCCTGCAGTGTGCTCCCATTCCAGGGCTTCAGAGAACTTTATTCTGTTGTAATGTTACAAGCCTCCCCTGGGCTCCCTGACAAGCCATCAGTGTCATGGCCTCAATGCCTGAGAGACATATTCAGATGAAAAACAGCAAAATTCATATACTTTGTGGAGCCACTAGACTGACTCTTGCCAGCTCCTCCCCCAAGGCTTCACTGCTGTGACTGCCAGTGAATTATTGTGACCGGGGGTCCTCAAACTACGGCTCGTGGGCCACATGCGGCCCGCCGAAAACATTTATCCGGCCCGCCGGGTGTTTTTGCCGCCACTGCCTGTCCTGCTTAGCAGCCGACTCGTCCCAGGCCCGCAGTGTGCATGTGTGGAATGTCTGAGGGACAGTGAACTGGCCCCCTGTTTAAAAAGTTTGAGGACCTCTGCTGTGGACATTGGACAAGACCATTTTAAGATGTCCTCCTCCATATGTTTCTCCTCTATGGAGGACCATAGAGCACAAGGGCAGAACCAGGGCCAATGGGCAGAAATTCCAGAAGAGTAGACTTTCACCTATTGGAAGAACTTTCTACAGTAAAAACAGTGCAAGTGGCTGTTTTGGGAAGTGGGCATCTTCATGTAGAAACTAGAGAATTGCCTGACAAAGATGTTGCAGATAATATTCCTTCATTATGAGACAGATTAGATGAACACCACAGTTTCTTCCAATCCTGAGACTCTATGATTCCAGGAGAACCTTTAAAATCCTATATATAAAACTCTAATGGGAGAACTCCAGACTTTTACAGGATGAACTGACAGGAGTAATCATACCATGAAGGCTGGCCCCAGCTCTCCTCAGCCACAGAAGTATACAAATAAGATACTCAAAGATGAACTGAACCCAAATTTCCCTTCCCAAAGCTTAAGGGGAAGAGCTCCCAGAGGTAGCCTTTTGGGCTGGAGCCTGGGAATGTGCCTTGGCCACCCTTGTCTGGCGCCTTGGGAGTTCTGTCCTCAGCTCCACCGAGGTTATGGACTGAGGACTTCCCAGGGGCAACAGGA